TTATTTTAAGATTTAGTAGTATAGTACTCAAGTAAAAATTGATATGAAGTTGGATATTTCATAAAACCTATAAAATAATTATCAATGTATCATAAGCAAAGATGAATAGTGGCTAGCAGTGGAATCCAGGATGTGCGTTTCGTCCTATTTGGGACTCGTCAGTTGGATGTACCTGCATTTCAGAGTTCATGTTCACTCTGGAACTCAATCAATTACATGCCTAAACATCAATTGGAAGATTTAAGTAAAGAATAACATGTGTCATCATCGACACAGTTTTTATCGAAAAACTAAAGTTACTAAAACATTTTTTTGTATTAAATTTATTTGTTTTGGTTATTTGAACGTTTTATTTGATAAATTTCATAACTTTTTATTCAGTGATCCGATTCTTATGGGATTTTGATTCTGTTTTTATCGTACGAACTTAGGTTGGAGATACCTTAGCACACTTGTAGTGTGGCGTCGAGTCGCAGTTGACTATGATCACCACTACAGGAAGACTACGTGCCAGTTAACAAATATGATCCCCCGTAGACCAAAGATCAGATGGCAGTTGATGGCTGTAGTCGAGATGTATTTGTTGGCGATCTCGTGGTATCGAAGGAATACCGAGATCGTGACAAAGGAATACAAGTGTGGTCACTGAGCGTAACCGAATTCGTGAAAAGTCACAATTATCGGAAGAAAGAGGAATGTCTTTAGTATATTAAAACAAACAAGTACCGTAAAACAATCACTGGTTCAATTGGTTATATTAATAATTGTTTCCATTAAACCAATTGCGTTCTCTTGATAAAATGTCACTGCACACTTATTGATTAATAACATGATTTCGGAAAGTTTTGAATGATAAGATAGATATTACAATTTCACTTATTGTAAATTATATTAATTATTGTTTATGCTCAATCTAAATCCCGAACTATCTATAGTCGTGCTATTTTACTTAGTTGACTTCTTCTGAAAGCATTTTTTTATTTCTTATCCACTTGTTGACTTTTTCAATCCTTATCACGTACTGGCCAACGGTACACAACCGTTGGAAACCAGCATAAGACCACTCAGTGTCAATAAATATCTAGCACCCTACTACAAGGTATTAAATCCAGGATAACCAAGTCTCACAACCAGTGCATTGCCTTTGGATCATTGGGTTCGTATCTAATGGTTTACGTACCAAAATTGGAAATATGTTCACATAATATTTCGAGATGATTAAAGTTAAACGTGTCAACTATCGATTGCCAACTCAGTAGTTCATCGGTTGCGTATGCTATGAGACACTAGAATCCTAGGTCTGGTAGGGTCGTAGATGTGCATTACAACTAATGAGTTCAATGCTAGGACCATTCCTTATGGTTTTATGTGGTCAACTAAGGTCGGTCCGTGATGTCAACTATGATTTAATATATTTATCACAATTATAGCTTTCGTAGTTCTCCAAGTTTCCGTCCCATACAGTAGAACTGTCTTGACATTTGTATTGAAAATTCTGACTTTGATGCTAGTTGACAGACAGTTGTTTTGGGTTCGAGATGTTCTTCAGTTGTAAATATGCTGCTCTTGTTTTGCCGATCCGTGCCTTCATCAGTGGTGCTGCCCAAATATGTAAATGTTTTTACATCTTCCAAAGCTTCTCCGTCGAGTATGATCCGATTGGTGCATGCTGTGTTGTGTCGGATAATCTTGCTTTTCTCTTTGTGTATGTTGAGACCTACTGCTGCTGCTACACTGATCGTCTTCCCCTGCATTTGTTGTTGCGTGTGCGATAGAAGAATTAGATCATCTGCGACGTCTAGATCGTCCAGCCGCATCCTAGCTGTCCACTGTATCCCATGCTTCCTCCAGATGTTGACGTCTTCATGATTCAGCCGACCACCAGGAGAAAGAGAAAGGGTGTGAGTATGCAACCTTGCCTGATACCGGTCTTTACTTCGAACCTAATAATTTAAACATGAATTGTGATGAGAAAAGGACAACAGCAAAGTGAGAGAGTTTAGTAAATAACATTGGATTTAGAAGGGAGCCCGATTGTAAAACGACTTCAGTGATAATTGCATGAGACAAATAGTTAATTCTGCTTATTCATCTTACCGTCATTTCTTCTCAGTGGTATGATGGGAAAGATTTGTAGCTCAGGTGGATGAAGTAAAAGTTTGTGCTGATGTCAATCGGAATAACAATAAAAGCTCCACAACCAAACCATCCAGCTCAGAAAACAAAACACCAAAATTTCTTCTCAATCGATAATCTTTTGTGTGGTACGTTGTACTCCTTAAGAAAGTTCAGTAGTTCGTTTACTTTCATCATTTGAGTTTATGCCGTAGCATACCTCTCTTTTGTGTTTTGTAACATTCTGAAGTATTTACATAAATTTCTAATATTCAGTCTACTTAGTACGGCAAGTTTAAAGTTATCATAGTTGTTTGCAGTTTTCACGCATTCATTGAATGTACGTTTAAGTATAATAGTTTACATATTGGATGTTCTTAGATTCTAACGGTTATTGTTTACTTTAGATATAGCCGGTGACTATCATTTATATTATTAAATTTTATAGCTGATATTGATACGGTTATTTCAGACAGCACTTTCCACTCATAAATAAACTAACGTTTTGAATACTTGAGACACGTCATGAACAGGGGTTTGTAACTATCATACACATATTGTCGTGATAACAATACCGCTTTCTAAACAAAATCTCTATTTTAGACTTTAATTTCCCCGGGTAACTCTCTCATTTGATTAGAAGCTCAGATAGGATTTGAAGCAAATCGTTGGACATGACTTTATTTTAAAAAGTAAAATAGATGTATATAAAATCAATCATTTAAATGACACAATGCATGATATTGAAATCTTACTTAGGTGGTTTGATTCATGTCAATAGTAACGCTATTCTTGATTCCAAACATGATTATTAAAGGAATTGTTTAATATGATTTGATTCATAATCCCTCTTTTTTTACGGGTTCATTAATTATTACATTAATTGCTTTATTTTAAGTACCTGAACATTAGGTTACTTCAGCGAAGTTTTTTTATGGAATCACCAATTTTACAATAACTAAACTACAAACGTTAAAACAGCTATACTGTATGGAGCTGAAACTTGAAGAGCTACCACAACTACTGTCAAATATGTGCAATGTCTGTTGGCCGGATACCATCAGCAAAAGCCTACTATGTGAGAACAAACCAACTTGCAGTTGATGAGGAAAGTAGGAAAAGACGATGAAAATGGATAGGACATGCGTTACGAAAATCACCAAACTGAATCACAAGACAAGAGCTAACTTGGAAACCAAAAGAGAGACGGAAAAGATGAAAACTATAAATATACTGCATCGAGAATTGGAGGCATATGAGAAAAGAATGAATACCAACTGGAAAGGATCGTTTAGGACAGAGTTGGATGCAAAATGCTGGTGAGCCGTTTATGCTCCTCCATGAGAAGTCACATGCGTAAGGAAGTAGGTAAGTTACGTTGTGAACAACTAGCGAGAACTCATCGATTATTCTATTACCATTCTTATTTTTGCCTCATTCAAATTTAAAATGCGAAATAAATTGTGGAAAAATGTAGAACATTACTTAAAAATTACACAATTAAATTTCTGGCATAAATACAAATATGTACAACCAATTAGTGTTTATTGTAATATTATGTTAATTAAGTAATTTTTTATGAAGAATTCTGGTGTGTGGTCTATGCTCTTCTACTAGAGGTAACAGGTGTAGTTAAGTAAGTAAGTAATAGATTAGTATGTTATAATTTATAATATAAGGTTAGTATTCAGTTTGTTTTGATTATATCCCCTAGTCTTTTGAAAACCAATGGTATAAGTTTATTTTTATGAAAGTGTGTGTGTGAGATCTCACAATGATTCACTCCTAGTGAGCACGAGATTTTCAAAATCCTGCTGGTACAGCAAAGAGAGGGGAAGTTTGAAACGTTTCTAAGCGACAGGCTTGATTGAAAGTTGTCGTGTCAACAAGTAAAACAAACATTTCTTAAAATTTATTTGTTTGACTGTGAAATAGAAAACGTCTAGCCATGTGACGTTCTAATCTGTTTTCATGATGTAAAAATAAAGACTTGCCTAAAGTACTGAGAAAATCAACGAACTGATCAATCTAATGGCCAGATTACATAAGGGTATGTTTTATCGGTTGGTCATTTGTAAAAGATCTAGTGTCATTCGATTTTTTGTCGTTCAGCTTGGTATAATATATATATATATATATATATATATATATATATATATATATATATATATATATATATATATATAGGGTCTTTAAATAAGTCAGGTGTTTGTAGTTATCTTGTAACCTCAAACATCAGCTTATATTTGATAATTGTGTTTATTACTATTCTGGATAGTTTCTGTTAATCAAATTGGCTTTCAAAGTTAACATTTATAATTGCTACTGGCCGGTAAGATAAGATACTACTTACGTCTTTAATCAATAGCAACGAATTATTCAAAACTGCGTATATTATTTATAGATGAAAAGATCAAATACTTATAACTAGATAAACTGAGGTATATTGTACATGCTCTTTCATCAGTTACACATTTATAAACAAAACACACAGGTGAATGGTTGCCAACATTGAAGAATAGCTCATTCAAAGAAAATGTGTGAAGGGCTTAATTAAGATGTGGACTATTCTATAGAGTTTCTCATTGTTATTTTAAACTATTGTTGTAAGTACAGACTACTGGGGTAAAGCCAACATAAGAGTCTTCATCAGTGATTGAAAACCTTAGGTGACATGGCCTAAAATCAGTTGGGAAGAGATTGGTAGATTTGTTTTTTATCACCCCATATTTTCAAAGTCCCGGTATTACACAAATTTTATTCCTTTTTCTAAACTAATTTTTTCGTTTACTATTCCCACTATTGTTATACTGTTACGTTTGTTTTATTAATTTATATTCAGTTTACTTATTTTATCTTTCTAAGTTGATATTATGCTATAAACAGGGTCATTGAAAATTTATTTCAAGTTTCGGATTAGTTAAAGCTGATTTAAAAAGGACTGATGTCATCTTATAAGAGTGTACCTGTGCTCACATATAAGCAAGTTCTAGAATGGGTGTTGAAAGAGTAAAGTTACGAACACAATTAAACAAAATTCATGAATGCTAAAAGCTAAAACGGTGGCTAGGTAATTAATGTTATAAAATGTTTAGCTTCAGATGGAAGGTGCACATAAATGAACATGTGAAGGAATGCGACACAAACTCAAATTACAATTTTAGTACTAGTATACACAAGCCTGTGAGAATTGTCTTGGTGGTCCTATGTTAAGCTTTTATTTAGTGCGGGTAATGCCAAGGAGTAACAAAAAATTTGCATGAAGACAAAAAGAAAAGTTATAAACAGAAATGAAGTAAACAAGACAGTTTGTATCCAAAGGTTGCGATGTGGTCCACATATTTGAAATGTTTTTACAGTGCATTATATACAGTAATGCTGATTTACGCTCCAACAGACTATGGGTAAACTGATTATGCCGATATGACATTTGAACAATATCCATTCACCTAGAGTGATGACTACTTGCCATTTTACTTAGGAGATCATGACATTCTACCACAATGTTTATATTACTATTTCATTTGTGATCTGATAGATATTTGAGGAACATGTCTCTATTCACAGGCCAATTGCTGAGTTCTGGGTTGAACTTGAGTTGGGCTTGAAGCTCAGCTGAACATGAGTTACTCTGTTGATCGATCTTAGAGGAAAGACCTTGGAGGAAGCATACTTTTTTCCCAAGTGGTCCAAAGGCTATAAGGCTTTCTGATTCAGCAGTTTGATTTGATGTCTCATCTTCGCTTAATCTATGAAGAATCTTTAGATCAGGATTACAGATAAAATTAAGCAGTCTTTCGTTTATAGTATTTAGGTGTCTTCTATTTTGGTACTTTTTATTTTCAAAGTTTTTCAAGGCTAAAACAGATTAGAAAAAATCTCTCTGTGAGTTTTCCGCTTACCTGTATGACTTTCAATACCAAACACATCCTGGTCTAGTTTTAGGTCGAGAATAGTACTTTTATGTAAATCATCTGCATCAGTAACCTGAATGTCGCAAAAAGATAAAGGTATCAACATGTGTGTGAAGTTAACGTGGAAAATGTCTTCTTCAGCAGCTATGTTTTCTCTCTGAAGGTTTCCAACTTCATTCATGATGCGTTCCATCTGTTCATCAAGTGATTCTTTTTCGATTTTCAACCATTTGTTTTGAAGCATTTGTTGCGAAAATAATTTATTTAATGTGTCGATAGCATTTTCAATTGCCGAGTTTCTAATATGCTCCGAAGAACACTCAATATTTGTTTGAACATTCAAATAACTCCGATTTTCCTCTTCGGTCAAATATCCTACCATTGATTCGAAACGTTGCTTCATATTAGTATACTCTGTTTCTAACATTTGGATACGTAGTTCATTTGATTTCTTCGTCACATCAGAATACGTTTGCCACTTTTTGAGTTCCAAAACAACATCTTTTGTAAGATTCTGTGTTAATTTGATTTCATCTTGAATTTTGTTGACTTCATTTTCCTCCAAATCTCTTATCTTCCACGTTTCAAGCAAGTAATTTTTCACGTCATCACCTGACACAGTAGTGTCATCAGATGTTGAAACTTTTGAAACTTTCAATAAAGTATCTTTGAGCATTTTTTCGCCTTCCAGTTTAAGTGTGTTGAGAATCTGCAACTTCTCCATAAGAATATTTTTAAGTGTTTCTCTCTTAAACTTCAGCCTAGAAAGCACATCCCGGAGATTACCTATTTGATAATCAAGAATGGCTTCTTTCGGTGTTAAGTTTTCGACCTTTTTCGGCTTTTTGACGGGGTTTTTGCTCTTACCTTTCTTCGGTGGCATGATATCAACTATGTGCAAAGTCAAGCGGCATTAGCAATTTATAAAATGGTTTGACAAAACAAAACAATCTCCAATGGAATACATAGAAGGTATTTATTTTATCAAGCCTTCATCTTTCTGAATCTCCGAATTCTATTTTATAAACTTTTTTGTCACATTGAATATTAAATATCGTTGTACTGAACTAGTGCAAACATTGAGATTTTAGCTTGTTTAATAAGGACAGAAGGCATACGGCCTATGTTATTCCTTCTCTAATATGCTTCTGTAAGTGTCTAGTTTTCTGTTAAATGGGTCAGTTGAAGGTGCAGATACCATTGCTTTGGGTAACAGGTTCCGAGAATTGATAACTTGGTGTGAAAACCTGTATGCCACGGGTATTTTTTTAGTTCGTGGCATTTCTTCTCACTCGCTGTGCCCTCTGAGATGTTCAGATCTAGTGGGGAGACAAAGAGAAGATTTGTTAGGTCCGTAATCACTTCCTAGTATCATATACATCAAAATTAGATCACCTCTTAATCTGGAGTAGGGCAGAGTAAAGAGGTCTAGCTTTTCAGAATGCTCTTTGTATAATAAACCCTGGAGTTCAGGAAGTGCATAGCAACTGCCTTCTGTACTTTTTCCGGGATACATGAGTCTCCTTCTAAGCGAGAGCTTGCAGTCTGAACGCAGTTATCAAGCTTATTTTTCACTAAGGTTTTTTAAACTGTAGTGAACATTGTAGTATCTAATCTAGTGAATGTCCGTTTTAAAGCCTAGAGGGTTGCAAACCCCTTAGCTGAGACCTCCCGACAATACGCTGTCGTCTTAATATCGTGACTCACTGCCACATCAAGATTCTTTCGAGACCAGTTCACGGGTACAGGCACGTCTCCTGTGGTGTACCTACTTATTTTTGTATCCCCGAAATGCATGCAGGCACTGCCATGTTGATAGGCATCAGCCGATCTTTAGACCAGCTAATTACAATATTTAAGTCTGTCTGAAGTGCTCCTGCATCTACGCCTCTTGCTTTTTCTCTCCAGATGCTTACATCGTCAGCGTATAGTAACTTTTGGGACTCAACTATACTTGGTGGATCATTTGCATGCAGAATAAAAATGACCCAGGGCAGTACCTTGAGGTACTCCAAAAAGTACTGGTCTCCATGTGGAGCGCTTTGTATTTACTCTCATTTTCTGTCTACAACCTGCCAAAAAGTCCTTAAGCTACATTAGGAGAGGTCCGGCAATGCCTAGATTTTCCAGATTCAACAGCAGTCTATTTGTTGGCACATTATCAAATGTTTTACTAATTTGATGATATATACATGGTCGTTTATTCTTGTTCTGTGTTCATAAAGACGCCTGTTAAACTACTTGCGTACTTCACGTCTCCTTTATTTCTATTCCTTTATTTTGTTCCTTTTCTTCCTTAAACTCAATTCAATATTCTTTTCAATTACAGAGAACCTGATTTATTATTATTACTCTCTTTTCAACTATAATGCTAACATTGTGGAGATATGACTGATAAGCTTATTTTGTGAATAGTTTTTAATATTACTTGTATTTATTTTGTCAACCTTCCACTGTACGTATATTTAACATTAAATGACTGTAACTGTTGTTTTAGTAAATGACCTTAAACACACTTTTCCGTTGTGCAACCACATAGCGTGACATACTCTTGCTGGTTAACAAATACACTACTACTCACACATTCCTCGTCCCATCCTCGTTTGTGATTGAGTTAACGGAAGTCTAAATCAAATAATATCTACGTTTATAGACTGTAATTGGAATATATCACATTCTACGTTGGATTATATCGCTGGAGAGTTCGTCAACCAGATAGGAATTACCAAGTATCTATAATTGTGGTTTCCTAATACCAGACCAAAGCCGAACACGCATCAATTTGGTGAACTTAAGTAAAGTCCCAACTTTCTATTGTATTTGTAATAATTAACTTATATATATTAACATTTCTATTGATCTTTATTAACTTTGTTGATACTTTTTGCGTTTATATATCGTCTGGTTCACCACAATTATTTGGTGAGCCTCGATTTTCTTATAGACATTTACTATATATATTTACACATTTTTTTATTATTATTACTTGGCCATTACTTTGCCATTATGAACTCTCCCGGTAAACCTATTGATGTAGATAGTTAGACCTCGGACTCCGGAGAGGATTTGCATGGGTTTTCATAGTTGCTCATGTCAAACGACTCATTCTCGGAGCCGATTTGTAGATGTGACCAAGAAGAGATTAATCGACGCAAATACACGTTTACAGGTAGATGGTACACCTTCCAACGACTATGAAATCCATGGTGTAAGAATGATGAAACCTGCGATCAACGTTTTCAACGACATACTGACAGAATACGAATGCATCACGAAAATAGACTATTAAAAAGAATGCGATCCACACCATGTGCAGCACCACATCACTACCACCGGACTACCCATTCGCGCCAGTCCGAGGAGACTACCGTCAACAAAGTTGCAGAGAGCTAAGAGAGAATTTGAACACATGATGCAACTTGGAGTCATCAGACCATCTAATAATCCTTGGGCCTCGCCGTTACACATGGTACCAAAGAAAGACCAAGATTGGCGTCCGTGTGGCGACTACTGTTGTCTGAATAATCAAACAATCCCTGATAGGTACCCTATCCCACATACACATGACTTCTCGTTAAACTTACACGGCAAACGCATCTCTTCGAAACTTGACCTAGTACGAGCATATCACCAAATTCCAATGACACTGGAAGACGTTGAGAAAACAGGCATAATCACACTTTTTGGGTTGTTTGAGTTTCTAAGGATGCCATTCGGACTGAGAAATGCTGCTCAAACATTTCAACGCTTCATGGACAACGTTACAAGAGGTCTGGATATCGTGTTTGTTTACACAGACGATGTTTTAGTTGCGAGTGCATTAGTAGAAGAACACGTGCGATATGTACAGATCCTCTTCGATCGCTTTACAAAACATGGGGTTGTCATTAATCCGTCGAAATGCATACTTGCAGTTCCAGCCTTAGAGTTTCTAGGACATTACATCGACTCGCAAGGTATTAAACCACTTTCAGAAAAAGTCGAAGCCATAGTAAATTTTCCGGAGCCCAAGTCGATAAAGGCATTACGTCGGTTCCTGGGGGTGTGCAACTGATGGTACTCCATGGTTAGATATCCAGAGGTCGAGGAAGACTGAAGCGACTGTTTCTGCCGAAGTGTCTTTTATGCGGCAGGCTATGGCCCATCTAGTAAACCTGTCTACTGCAGTAAGAATGTGCGTGAAAGAGTTTGATGGTGGCAGGGGCCACATGAAATCTAAATTCACGTGCTGTAAGCGTTTGTCAGGGGTAGGGAATTTTCCGATTGGGCTAATGGTGTGTTTTTGGATTTTGCTGCGTTGGCACTGTTAGCAGCCACGTGTCCAACGTTTAACATCCGTATTGATTTTTGGCCAAACAATGCATTCTGTGATAAGCTTTGTGGTAGCTCTGATGCCTGGATGCGACAGTGCATGTAGCTGTTGAAATAGTTTTCGTCGACAGGGTTGTGACACAACGGGGCGATTATTACCCGTCGAAGTGTCGCAAATAATAGATGCATCTGAGAAAGAAATGGGTACAGGTTTAAGATTCACGTTAGACTTCTCTGTACAAGCCTTCAAATCTGAACCGTCCACTTGTAGTTTAGCTAAAGCTTCGTGGCTGATGTTGTGAGTGTGTACCATCATGTTGATATCCTTTCTAGATAGAGTGTCTGCGACGATGTTGGAGGAGCCTTTTGATAAACTGGATATCCGTAGTGAATTGAGAAATATAATCCAGTTGTCTGGCCTCCCGTGGGGAATGCTTGTCGTACGACGTGTTAAAGGAATAGCAAAGGGGTTTATGATCAGTCATAATAGTGAAATCACGGCCTTGTAGCAGGAAGTTGAAATGTTTTACAGCTAAATACATAGCCAGAAGTTCACGTCTGAGGGTGCTATAACGCTCTTGAGTTGGCGATAATCATTTGGAAAAGAATGCTATGGGATTAATCTTGTCGTTCATGCACTGCTGTAATACTGCTCCTACTGCTTTCTGGAAGGCGTCGGTGCAGAGGATTAGATGCGTTGTGGGGTCGGTGTTTAGGTGCTGTAGCGTGGCCTCTGGTGTAAACGTGAAGGTAATCTCTTTTTTAGTCTGAGCTGCGGTTTTATCCAACTTCAGTAAATCTGTCAAATGTTGTAAGGTGGTCGCGCAGTTGGGGAGAAAGCGTCAGTAGAAATTGCACATCCCCAGGAACCGACGTAATGCCTTTATCGACTTGGGCTCCGGAAAATTTACTATGGCTTCGACTTTTTCTGACAGTGGTTTAATACCTTGCGAGTCGATGTAATGTAATATTAAAAACTATTCGCAAAATAAGCTTGTCAATCATATCTCCACCGTCTCACCAGAGTGCTATCGTGATGATTCATGTCAAAGTCTTCGCAAATTTTCATACCTGCTTGCTTGGATTGAGTTTCGATTCGACCTCATTGAAATATTTACCTGTCGTGTGTGCATTAATTCTCATTTCCACTTAAGTTTGATTCTGTAGTCTGATAACTTAGAACTCTTCATCTTTTTTCGCCCTTCATTCACTCTGTATTTGGTTACTCTGATCAAATATGGTCGACTAAGCTACAAACTTGTAACACGACATCTACTGGTTGTAGTGTACGAGAAATAATTCAAATAAAAGAAATAAATAATTGAACTGTAACATCGATGAAAATAGACAAAAATAATGAGAACGAATCTGAGTCAGCTATACAAAATATTAATTTCGAATACCATTAGTCTTTGTGTGGATTAGATTTAAAGGCCGGTGGATACTCCTCATTCTACCTTCCGAAGGAAACAGATTAGTATTGAAGAAGTTTTCATTGAAGTCATGGAGATTCCAATGTGCCAGAGGATTATTTTTTCAAACACACAAACCTTTTCAACGTTTTATATTAAATGATCAAAAATATAATGCCCATGGGAAATA